TCGTTCTGACTCTCCAGGACCCGCGCGATGCCCAGATCACCCACTTTGATTATATCGGTCTTGGTCAAGAAGATATTCTGCGTTTTCAGATCTCGATGCAGAATGTGCTTCTCATGTAAATACTAGGGATCAACAAAAATGCAAAAGCTGCATTATTCAGCTAGAAACTCAGAAAGGACAGATGGATGGAAGGATGGTCATCGACTTACCTGGAGGGCCATGGCAATCTGAACAAACCACTCCACAACTTGTCTCTCAGGAAGCAGTTCTCCCTTCTGCTGTTTGAGTCTGCGGTAAAGATCTCCTCCCTCACAGAATCCCATCACGATGTAAAGCTGACAGTCCTCGCCTTCCCATGATTCCCGGTATGTGACGATGTTGGGATGCTTGAGCTGTGAGAGGAGCTGTGCTTCCTGCTCCGCGGCTCGCCGTTCGCGTCTGGAGGATGCTCTCAGGTTCAGCTTCTTGATCACGTACTGCCAAAACCACACAATATATTGTGTTATAACTTTGCACATAAACAAAAGACAGAAATTCTAGTGGAAAATGTCCACATTTATAAAAAAAACAAACAAAGATGCTCTAATGTTTGGTGTACAAAGAAGGATCATATCAGCAATCATATGTACCAAATCACACGTCCATTATTTTATATTATAATTTTTTATTTATTCACTTTTTAACATCAAGGCTATTTTCATGGCGATCTCTGAATAAATTTTACAAAATATACAATTAACAAAAGGTTGTAAAAGACATATCAAAAATTCTAAAATACAATCAGGTGATACACTTTTAAATAAACCAGGTAGACACATCTCTGAATAAAACCGTTGTCTATTTACACTAAAAACAGCACAATCCAATAAAATATGTTTCACAGTCATTTTAGTTTTCGATATTAAAATCAAAAAGGATAAAAATCACTGCACTCTACAGACTCAAGTTGCATAGATAGATCCGTAAAAACTGAAGCATTTTTTTAAGAAACCGAAAGAGGCACACAATTTTTTTCTTATTTATTATCATTTGTTTTTTATGTTTCATTATGCAGCACAGCACATACGAAACGGACGTTTCAATATCAAGTTTAAAATGTGCGTATTTGTATAAAAGAGAGTGTTTTAGGTGCTGATAACCTTTTCTTCTAAGATTTTCCAAAATTGTAATCACTTCTACAATACAACTAAACGGGCCTTCGTTGTCAGAAATCTTTGTTAAATAAATAAATATTTCATGTAATATCTCAATAAAAATGCATGCATGATAATTACATTTTTTTATTTAAAATTGTAAGAAAAAAGTTTCTCAAAATAATTACAGTGCAGGATGTCAGCTGCCTTTATAGTAACTGATCAAACAAGTCAACAATATCAATACAATTAAAACATACTTTATATGTCTAAAAGCTTGATTTGATTCCTGTTTTTCATACACACTTGTATTCGTACATAATCCTTCTGATGTGAAGCGTCCTGCAGACTCATAATTTTTTTCTTACATTATAAGTTACTATAAATGTGTTATGTACAAGGAATATTAAACGCATCATAAAGTAATTAAAAATCCCAAAGCTTTTCCTAAAATATGCAAATACACATTTTGATAGAAGAGGCTAACTCTCAGCTGTAATATCAACAACAACAAAGTCTGTTATTAACTAATGCTTAAAAATAAGGCATTAGTTGAGTTTGGCAATTAGTTAAACATATAAATTATGTGAGAAAATCTTTAATTATGACATTAAAATTGTGATTGTTTGTCAAAAGTTCCATTCTCAAAATTATGACTTAGTGTGTAATAATTTTGACTTTATCTCATAATTATGTATTTATCTCATAAATGACTTTTGTCTCACCATTATGGCTTAGTATGTGACAGTTTTGACTTTATCTCATTATTATGACCTTTTATCTCGTAATCATGAAATTTTATGTCATAATTATGATTTACCAAAGTACGTTTTTTTTTCTTATGTAGCAGATATGGGTTTCCATAGTATTTGGTGGATTTGTTCAAAAGTTCAGAATTGTCTATAAATTATGGAATATTTACTTCTAGATTTTGTTATCAAAAGTATTTCTGCTGCCATGTGCAGTAACAATTGTTGAATGTCTACTATGGCAAGGTGCTGATCATAATGCTGTCATTTAGTATGATATTAAAAATCTTTATATTTCATAGTTTTGAGGTGTCATTGAAATGAATTGTAGCATTGCAGTTCTAAAACGTGGCGCTTTTACAACGTACACAAGCTGTTCTGCTTTGATCAGCTCTCCACATAATCACAAGTAACTGCACCAACCACAAAAACTAAAAAATACACAGTGTTTGTTTTATCATGTCAATTAAATTCCATAAAGTACCCCCAACATATTCGCGTCACACCTAAAATCGTTGCTTTATTATGGTACATACAAGTAAAAACAAACACTAGCTTTCTATTTTTGTATTCTATTTACTTGTTTTTCTTTGTGTGTGTATGTGTGTATAATATATATATATATACAGTGTTGGGGGTAACACATTACAAGTAACGCAAGATTACTTTTTTCAAGTAACTAGTAACGCATTACTTTTTAATTTACAAGAGAATATCTGAGTTACTTTTTCAATTAAGTAACGCAAGTTACTTTTTTTCCCAATGTATCGATTGACAGCTCTCCTGTCCCCATGTTCTGTAAATATAAACCAGCGTGTTACTGCTTAGCAGGACCGCACAGGTCTGAGATGCACGCACCACTCTGTTACCTGTTTACGGTCTGATCTGTGTCTGACCAGATTCACCTCCCCATAGCTCCCCTTCCCCACAACTCTCACGAATAAGTAACTGTCCATGATCCTCCGTCCAAAGATGCTCTCTGTATCACATAGCGAGTGATGCTAAGCCCTTCCGCAGACGTTAAAATACAAGCAAGCGCGCTATTCTGTGATTTGTCTGTTGCAAACTTGTTTTGGGTGACACGGAGCACCGGAAACAGCCGAGCAGGGCTTCGGCGTCTCCAGGCAGCTGAGCGCTTTAACGCCGCACGCTCCGGATCAATGTGTGTGCAGTTTGACAACAGCGCCCTCTATAGGCGCAGCGGCACGTGACAAGTAAGAAAAACGCTTAGTCATTAGAGTCTCAGAGAGACTGCTGTTTTATGTCATAATAATTAACATCTACAAACATTTTCAATCAATATTGAGTATGGAAAGTCTTATAAAGATTAGAGGTGTAGGTTAATAACCAGTATAGCCCAAGTCAAACAATATTGTCACCAGTAGGTGGCGTAATGTTTGTATTCACTGTTTTTTGGGGCACATGCAAAGACCAATAAAACCATCAGTTAATAAACAAGCAACAACGTTTTCAAATGTCATGCATTTTTAAACCAGTGCTGTGGATGAAGTGAACACAGTTTAAAATCTATAAATGCATTTAAACTGACTGAAGTCACATATTGTACCCCATTGGATTTCGATGTTCCCCTTTATACATTATGCCATTGCCAATTATAACTTTGCAACTACATGGAAATGGCAAATACGAGATTGGACATGCATATTTTTGTATGTCATATAGGCGATTCTAATAGCCTGCTGATTTAGTGCTGGGTTATTAACAAATGCTCTAATTATTGTCAGTGCTGCAAACAGTTTTTGCTGCTTAATAACAGCAATGCATAGATCAACTGAATGCATCTTTGCTGGATATATTTATTCATTCATTCAGTTAGTTAGTTTTTTTTTTAAACGTTTGGACGGTGTAATAAATAAATACATAATGAAAGAAAGAAAGAAAGAACTGTTTCTTGAGCAGCAAATCAGCACATTAGAATGATTTCTGAAGGATCACGTGACACTGAAGACTGGAGTAATGATGCTGGAAATACAGCTTTGCATCACAGGAATAAATTACATTTTAAAACAGAAAATAGCTATTTCAGATTGTAAGAACATTACACAATATCACTGTTGAAACTGTAGCTGTACTTTTCTATCAGCGGAAAGAGATCGAGGGAGAGAGATTTTCTTAAGCACATTTCCCCATCAGCACCAGTGTTGGGGGTAACGCACTACAAGTAACGCGAGTTACGTAATCAGATTACTTTTTTCAAGTAACTAGTAACGCATTACTTTTTAATTTACAAGAGAATATCTGAGTTACTTTTTCAAATAAGAAACGCAAGTTACTTTTTTTAACCAATGTATTGATTGACAGCTCACCGTTCCCCATGTTGAGAGAAATCAGATGTTACTGTAGTTCTAAAATAAATATGAATATGCATTAATTCATCTCACTCACAAAAAAAAGAACACAGATTCAGTATTCCTCAAAATGAATAAAAATAATGCAACTCAGAATATGACGCAAACCTGCAATAATTCAATGTTAAACAACACAAATATGCTTTATGTATTTAATCCCATTCTATTAACCAATGTCTTTGCTTCTGACCTTCGATGATCCAGTTCAACCGTACTAATAAGCACAAATTACTCTAGACAAACATTTGTGTGTCTTTGTTTATTGCTGAAGTGTGTTGAATTTCTTCTTCTGCATTCTACTGTACTTTCCCTTCAGCCTGAGGCTTATTCATTTCACTTTTGGTCTGAAAAGGCTTTTATATTTGCCAAAAATAGAACTTTTTTATTTTCAAAACAAACAAGCAAGCCCTGCCCAGATTTAAAAAGTAACGCAAAAGTAACGTACCGCATTACTGTCCATAAAAAGTAACTAAGTAGCGTAAATAGTTACTTTTTTTATGGAGTAACGCAATATTGTAATGCATTACTTTTAAAAGTAACTTTCCCCAACACTGACCAGCACATCCTGAGCTCTGAGGAATATGGATATCAGATAATGCCAGCTATGAAAATCTAATTCTAGGAACACCGATTAGGACAGACATAACCCCGCCCCCATTACCTGAGAGTCAGCGATCTCTTTCATCTGATTGGCGCAGAGCAGCAGAGGCGCTGTGACGTCAGGGCGCGCTGAGACTGGGTCAGCCGGAGGAAGCAGCAGCAGCAGGCAGAGCTCCGCGAGACCAGTGCGAGCGCACTACATTCAGATCACAGCCAGAGACGCGCCTCTGCACCTCTGCACCTCTGCGATACACAGGTACCGACATCCACTGCATGTGAACGCTGTGTTAACACGACATGTTGAGGACAGGCGTGCATGATCGATAACTGCTGCATGCCATGCACTTGCGAATGCAGGCTAGTCCCACAGATTAAGAGTTTACAGTCGGCTATAGTTTGTATTAGCTGGTTGTCTCTACTCCACATGACTTTATGATGGGTTAGTTATCTAACTCAATCAGAGGATGTGGTCAAACACTCCTATAGGTCTTTGAATGCACTAAAACTTTGACAGCTGATGGTTTGATAGTATGCAATGGATGGAGATGAGAAACAATATATATTTATATATCTATTTTTTATTTTACATTGTCATTATGATGCATCAACTTCTTGTTTTCAAATATATAAAAAAAAATATTTTTTCAGTTTTTATTGAAAAACTGAAAACATATCCCAGCAGCATTTAATGGTACTAAATTGCAAAAATGACTCTTTTGAACTTCCGCAACATTCTGACATCAGACTAGTGAACATTTCAGCAAATTGTCATCTGTTTATCAGTCACTCAGGATTTGTTAGTGCCATTAACACTGATTTGATGTCATTCCACGTTGACACCTTTACTGTAATGGTGTTCATAACCGTTATTATGACTTTGTCAGGCTGTTTCCTCAAAAGTGGCAGTTAAAAACCATCAAACGTGACCGCAAAACTACAACACATGAGTGAAATTGCTTAGCAAAGTGGTTTTTAGGGAACTGGTTTTCGTGACAAAATTATTCAATCGTACATTAAATAAGACATCACTAACAGTAAAAATATTGTACATATATATTCAGCAAATATTCTCTTGTTGTCTAACAGCAGTGAAGTTCTGAAACTGCCTCAAAAGAAAACATTAAATATTTTATAATCAAAATGAAGATCGATTAAAATTGATTAACAGGTGTTGTCAACCCAGCCCTATTTTGCAACAGACCATAGCTGCTAAGTCTATTAAGCTCCACAAATAACAACAAAAAATAAATCAAGCACCATAAAATTAGTCCATACGGCTTTTGCACTATATATTGAGATGCTATGTGTGAAGAACAGACCTGCATTTGAGTCGCTATGAGCTTCCCCAATTTGGGGGTATGTTGATTCGTTTGATTTCTGGCATAGTTCTAATGATCACTGACCAATGTTGATTTTGGAACCTTGTAAACGGATAAAGCAAGTCATTATATAGCTTGTTTTCGCTCATACTGAAGTGGAGGCCTTTTTTTTAGGGTGAGAGGAGACTCGCTAAGGTTACCGCTGTGTGTATGTAAGCTCTATACTTCCTGAGTTTGAATTATGTTGTGGTTAGATAGCTCACCTTAAAAGGGGAAGCGCAGTTTGTGGTCATAAACGCCCCCGACAGACTCTATTAGCACGAATCATGAATTGTTCTGTGTGGTGTGACACTGTTCAGACCTGCTAAAGGTTTAGGTGTCACTCTGTATCTCTTCTGTCCTCTTCTGAGCAGCCATGGGAAGCCAGTGAGTATCTCCATTGTCTGTCTGATGAATTCCACATTTTGAATGCTGCATGATGATCTAGATGGTAGCGTTGTGTATGGATGTGTCTGTTTTCAATCCTTCAAGCTTGCCATTTGATTCTCCTTTCTATGTGGGTTAGTTCATAGCTCTTCTACAATCTATTTCTTGACCTCTACTTGGTTCCACACTAACAAACGATGAGTTGAAACCCTTTCTACCACTGGACCTGCATGCACAGTGATGCAAGTACCTTTGTTATGATATATGGTGCCTATGTATACGACTCTTAAAACTGCTTGCCTGAGATTTGGGATGCCTTTAAATCTTTGGTGTATGTTCATATTTTGCTTGCCTGGGGAGTCTTGGATGAAGTTTAGTCTAACTCAGGGATGTGTCTGGATGCTCTGGTGATTCTCAATGAGAAAATGGGTCTGTCAATAGAGAGCATTGAATGTCTCCCATCTTCTTTGCATGTGTCCATGTTAGATGTCAGCCCGGGCATCACATTTAACTCCTGCACTCTTTCTTTGCTGTCTTTAGCTGTGTGGGGTTGTCATCTGTCTGGAATGCCGAAGTTTTAAGGAAGTATACCATTTTTAAGAGAGTATTTAAACCAAAGAGTATCCAGTATTTAAACCAAAAGTGTGACCGTAGCAATTATGAACCAGTTCAGATTTCAATTATTACAGTATTGCAGCGTAGCACTTTGAGAAATCAATATTTGTGGAGTCAGTTTAGTTGTGCTGTGACATCAAGTATTTCCTAATACACTACATCCTGCGGTCTAGTGAGAAGTCTGATGTTACCCATTAAAAAAAGTGTTTAGTCTGTGCGGCTTTATATAAACTAAAGGTCTGATCTATTTTCTGTCAAATTAGAGCATGCCACAGTTGCTGTCATTAGAGTTGAACTTACTAAATCCAGAACTATCTTTAATGTGTGCCAGGTTCAACTATGACTTTGAAGCAATTACATTTTGATGCTAGCAAACTTTAAATGCTCAGTTGTCTTATCAGTGTAACATGGCCGTGACATTACCCAATATTGCTACCTCATTTTGCACAACTTCTGTTTTAGGAAAGAAGAAATGTACTGTCTCCGATTTAGAAACAATTAACAGAGGTTTACCGGAGAGACAGCCCTCCCTAAATGCACATATTTAAACAGTTTAGAGTGTTTACCCAAACTGTACGCCTAAACCAACCGAGATCCCACCGCAGCTGCTCTAGTAGCTTGCCATTTGGATCCGGACACACTGTGGATCACCGGGTTCCCATGGAAACATTGTCATCACAAAGAAAGAATACAGTAGACCACCAATTGTGTTTAAGTTAGAATAGACATGGCCAAAAACAGCACAGTAGACCATTATGATTGACATTAGGTGAAATGGTTTGGCATGAACTATCTCCCTGAGTTGATGTAACAACTTTTAGCACAAAGAATATAGACAAAGCAGACACAACAAGTCGTGAGTCTCTCCTGAAAGTGATTGCTGAAGATTGCAGACCTGCTGGGCGACCGAATGTGGGTCAAAGACGTTAAGATGTCCGCATCAAAAGAAATGTACAAAAGTGATTTTATGTCCATAGAAAGCACGTTAAATGTAAGTAAAGTATCTACTTTTAAGGTTTCAAATAAGTTTTTGGAGAATAAAATGTCAAAATCTGGTTGAAATAATGTTACATTGTCATTCAGTTTAACGCAAGATTTATGTAAAAATTCAAACAACATGCTTATTCTGACTTGTAGGCCTACTTATTAAAATATATAAAAGAATAAGTGAGCATATTCAATTTTATTGTGTTTTAAATGAGTAAAAAAAATATTACTGACAAATGGGCCAAACGTAGGATAGTGGCACATTTTCAAAATGTAAAATTACAACTAATTAGTATTTGGGGTGAAAGTAATTAGTCTTTTAATATGTCAGAAATTGATTTTTGTTGTAAATATGCCTGACAAGATTGTTACACTGAATGATTTTAGTGGGTTTCTTCTGTAAATCAGGGGGAAATGTATAATATTAATTTTTTTGCTCAGAAAAACAAAAGCACGATTGTAATAAATTAAACATAAAACTTTTTTTTTTTTTTAATTTGGAAAAACAACAACAATTTAAAACAGTATTGCACTTATTGTTTTTATGCTTTAACCCTTTTTCGTCTTTGACCCATGTGCAAAGCTGCGTAAATGTTATTTTGGTATTGATCTTAGGATATCCCTGCGGCTGCGTGGAGTGAAAGTAACATTCACATCTCATAAGCTGTTTCTCGTATTGAAAATCGAAATGTATAATATTTATTTTTTTGCTCAGAAAAACAAAAGCACGATTGTAATAAATTAAACATAAAACTTTTTTTTTTTTTTAATTTGGAAAAACAACAACAATTTAAAACAGTATTGCACTTATTGTTTTTATGCTTTAACCCTTTTTCGTCTTTGACCCATGTGCAAAGCTGCGTAAATGTTATTTTGGTATTGATCTTAGGATATCCCTGCGGCTGCGTGGAGTGAAAGTAACATTCACATCTCATAAGCTGTTTCTCGTATTGAAAATCAAATGGCAAAATTCTATTTAAAGATTTACAAAGTCACGCATTTTAGGTTTTGTTATGAAAGCCGTGCAATATTTCGGCAACACTTTATTTTAATGTTTCACATTTTACATGCACTATTATAATAACAATTGATTATGCATAATTACATGCAAGTAACCCTAAGCCAAACCCCTATCCTAATCCTAACCATATAGTAAGTACATGTAGTTAATTAATATTACTCAGTACTTAACTGTATAATTACATAGTAACAAGGACGCCTTAAAATAAAGCGTAACCGATATTTCTACTTGTAATATTCCAGAGCTATTACATTGTATCTTTTCAGTGTAATATTGTAAATTTGAGGGATGCACCAATATTAAATTCTGGCCAATGCAATAAACCACTAATTATGTTCATGTTATGGTGATATAGTGATAGAATAAATTATAAAATTGTCAAATTATAAAAACCTACTAAATGCTATATTCTACAACATTTACAATCGCAACATTATAATGTTCAGTATGAAAATTGCATATTGATTTTGAGATCTACTGAAGATTACATTTAAGAGTGTTATAAATTTAATAGTGTTTTTAAATGTCTAATGTGTTTAGTTTTTTAATACAGTTTCCGATACTGATATTTAATGCTGATTGGTCAATATAAGCCATTCAATACTGCATATATAATTATAGCTGAAAGTTTCGCTGGGTGTCTGCTGTGTTCCATCACACAGAACGTTTTTTTCTCTCTCTCTCTGTAAAAACATTGACGTGTTTGAGACTCCATTCTAAAAGCACCACGCTCACATTAAAACACTTCAACTTAAAAAAGAAAAAGAAAAGAGAAATTAAAAAAAAAAACTGGTCTCTAAACATTGCAGTTTTTTTTCATTCAACGACTCTGCGTATTGTGTTTTTAAGCACAAAAACATTTTCTGCATGAATGGCCCCTAACGGTGCCCTTTAGCCATTTTTGTCCAGGTGGAAGCTTTGATCAGGTATAGAACAGGTAAGTAGCAGGTAAATTAGTTTTTCTTAGTGTCTTGAATTAAGACATACAATCATTAGTTTCCACTATGCTTAACCAGCTAAGAATTAAACTTTTTCTTTGTATGTGCAGTACAAACTAACAAGCTATAAAAGATAAAACCATGTGGAAAAACAAGTGTTGCAAGATTCTTTATGTAGCTGCGGCTGACTGAGCTTAGTTTACACTCTCATGTCTCACTGAAGACTGAGCTAAATAAAACAGGCCTGGGTTATAGAAGTGTGTAGTTGTCAGAACCCTTGCTTTGAAATATTCAAGGAAAAACAGACAGATGGGGAGCACTTGCTTTGACATGATGGTGTCTTAATACTGATCAGTTTACACATAGTAAAAGTTCTTAAAGGTGGGGTAAGTGATTTTTCAAAAACGCTTAAGAAAACAGTTTCGGGCCGAATAGCAAAACAAACTTGTAGCCAATCAGCAGTAAGGGGCGTGTCTACTCATGATGTGGAGGAGAGAGCGTTCAGTGCACAAGATGGACATTAGCGAGCCGAGCGACAGAAAGATAGAGATGGTGGAAAGAGGAAAACGTCTGCGGAACAAAAGAAGGCTTAAGGCAAGAATTCGGACCTGTGTAAATATCGAATCAGCTTTCCAGCACTGGAGAGAACTCAAGGAGCGGAAGGCCTGCGATCAGATGCCGAGGTTGCTTTGTTTCTTCTCGATAGGTGAGTAACACTGTGCCTGCGCCGCAACAGCTAAAGTCTGTCTAGTACAAAGCGACCGTTGAAAATCTTTTGAAATTTGTGTCAATACGTCATAAATAGAACGCAGCAGCAGTTTTCTGTCGGGATTTGTCGTGCCTCACCGCGCCACATTCAGTGTTGACCATAGATATGTATATACAGTGGGGCAAAAAAGTATTTAGTCAGCCACCAATTGTGCAAGTTCTCCCACTTAAAAAGATGAGAGAGGCCTGTAATTTTCATCATAGCTTTAAAGACACATCATGTGACTTAAGGTGACACTTGTAGCTAAATGATACTGCAGTCATGTAAACCTGAATATTTCCACATGGTGAGGTCAAAGGCCAAGTGAATTGCCCTATAGGTCAAAGTTTTTAGAAATTCAGCTGAAGCCGAGTTCGTTTCTGGGAAATTTCATGTCACAGAATGTAAGATTTGGCCTGAAAAATCTGTAGGATTGTGTTGCATAGCATAGTAATTGAATGGTTTCCTCTTCTTCTCTCAGTTTATCCAACATTGACCGTAGCAAAATGCCATTGGGAGAGGATGGACACTCTTGGAAAAAGAAAACGTCGAGCATCAAGGACATCTATGACTTCAAAGAGGTTTTGGGAACGTAAGTATAAGAACATTTTACTTCCAACTCAGCATCTACAAAGCTACCGCTGATGTTTGCATTTGAGCTGATGGCGGTTGTTTCTTCCTGACATTAATCAGCTTGTCTGAATTGAATTGTGTAACAATTTTGTGCTGAGAACTTTTTTTGTGTTGACCAATGTGGACATGGCACTTCTCTTTTGTTCCAAGTTACACGATCATAAAATGTGCCAATCAAGAAAGCAAGCTTTTAATGGACTTTTAATAGGGAACATTCAGTATTTAGTACTCAGCCCACTCTGCGAATCAGATTACATTAGGAAATTATCCAATCATAACATAGCTCATTTATGAATAGAGGTCTTAAAGGTATAGTAGCAAAAACGGTCTGTTTTATTCAGAGTATTTTTTGATGCAAGAAGCCTTGACTAATATTACTTCAGAGAAAAAAGCTATAAATATCTATAATAAGACTCTCTTAAAACAAACCAGATATTCTCAATTTGACAAGCAGCATCAAAATTCCCACAACTGCTCATATGTTGCTGTCATTCTGATATGAAACTGTCCAGGCCATTTTACAGAAAGTGCTTATTAATACAAAGAAGCTTTCTTAGATATCAATTTTTCTGGTTCTGATCCCACTTATTGTTTTGTTTCTTTAGCTATTTTTTTTAAATGATTTGTTTAGCACTTTCGAGAAAAAAAAAAAAAAAAAAAAAAACCCCCATCCTGCACGTTTGGTCCAAACCCACTCTCACTCTCCTTCAACACAGGGCTGGTGAAGTGAGTAGAAAAGGCCTTCAGCACTTGTCCTGGAATGTTTCTATCTACAGGCACATGTCAGTGTTATCGGGGTAAGTTGCAAATATTTGAGTTTTGTGTGGTATTTGTACATATTTAGTTTATTTTTCGTTTCTCTGATGTATTTCTTGATTTTTGTGTCTTTAAAATGTGTGTGAAATATTCCTGTTATGGTTTTATGGTTTATACGAAAAAAATTGTTTTATAAACGGTACGATTCCTGAAGAAAATGGCGTAGGGGGTATGTAAAGGCAGTTCATATCAGCCCCCAACAAATAAGTCGACAAGTAAGTCGACCTTCCACAGTGCATAGTTTTGGGGTTAATGTTTTTGTTGAGTGAGAAGAGGTATTCTTTTTGGGAGTGAGAGTTTTAAATCGTGTTATCGGAAAAAGGTTTTTACGAATTAACCTTTCATTTTCTGATGCTTGTGTTGATGTGTGTGTTTATTGGAACACTTCAACGTAGTGAATGGAGATCAGCTATTTGGGCCTTGTGTTTGATTATCATGTTGTATTGTCGTTTATCTTGTGAACTGTTCATTGCGATTAATATTTTTAAAATATTTTTTCATAATATTGAATTGTAACATGGATACTTATGGATAGAAGCATAATATATGCCACATCAGAGGTTAGTTTGCGCAGTTATGCCTTAAAACTCGAATATACGTGACGGTACTTTGTGTTAATTATGTAAATGTTTCAATTGAGTTGTTCTTACTTATTTTTTTTTTTCTTTAGCTTTTTTTTTTAAATGATTTTTTTAGCACTTTCAAAAAAAAAAAAAAAAAAAAAAAAACCTCCATCCTGCACGTTTGGTCCAAACTCCTAAATAAAAGCAATATTATTTTCTATATGTATCGTTAGCTACTCATTGTCATTGACACATGAACAACAGTCAATAATTATAATCTTTTGAAGTGCACGACATTAAGTACACATACAATTTGTTGTCCATTTTGTGTTGGACTTAATGAAATGAATTGTGGTTCAGTGAGCAAAGAACCATTTGAGTTATTCAGTTGAATGAGACTAATTCCTGAGTCATTGTCTGTTTTTTGTTTTCGTTTCATTTTATTAATTCAAACTGCATGTAATTTTTTGTTCTGGTACTGTAGATTCAGTAGCGGTGCAACACTTCTCCCAAAACACTGTCAGAGTATTTTAATATAATGTTCCAACTACATCAACAAAAAAAATACAGAAGTTTTTTTTTTTTTTTTCTGAACCAGTTCTAAACAGGAACCAGTGCTCAGTTCCAAACCCTAGTCATTCATTAAACACTTCCACATGCTTTACTCGAAGACTGGGGGCCATTGTAAGGACTGATTTTTAGGGCTTGTTTAGTTTTCGGGTGTGTACGTTGACCCTTGACCTCTTCTCATACGGTGACAGGAGTGGGAATATTCAGGACCCGTATCCCAAGCCTGGATTCAGTGCACACAGCAATGTTATTGGAAACTTCTGTGAGCTCATGTCTGCAGCGAGAGTAACAGAGAGAAGGGGAAATTATGCTTTCGTTTATTTAACTAGAGTTGGTCTAGAGTTCTCTGGTGTAAATACTGTAGGTTTAATGAGAAAACAGAAAGACGTGTAATGTTTTAAACAGTCCTTAAAGTCTTAATCCCAGCAAGATTTTCTTTCTCAAGTCTCACGATTTCAATATTAGCCAAACTCTGTTCTTAAGGTCAGCTTTGTATGTTGTCCAGGCTTGTTTGGGGATAGATCAACAGCTCTACATCGTTCAACTGCGAGTTCACCGTGGGTTGGTTGTCTTGGCAACAAGAGGAGACACTTTCCATATGGACTATAACTGTTGCTATGGAAACAAAGTTTTTATTTTCTATTAATAATCTCGGTGGGTAAATGTGTAAGCATCAAGAGCCTCAATGTTCAATCTAATGGAAAAGATTTTTGGGGGTATTTTGTCCAGTCGTGATTGTCTGCTGAATTTTCTTCAGGCTTCCCCTGTGTGACTTTGTGTTGCAGTGGACACTCACCGCTTTGAGGGGCAGTGTATAGCTCCTCATCAAATCCAGGACTAAACAAACTCTTTAAATAGCCAGTCTCATAAAATCTAACTCATAAACTGGAGAAGATGTCAATATAATGTCAAACCAGGGCTCGCAAAATCGCTAGCCCGACGTCCCGGGGCTATTGTGTTTTCCAGTCGGGCTACCAAAATATATAACTGCCCAGCCCAAAGGGCTATCTTGAATAGTGATATAAAATTCCTTCCTTGATTCGCGTTGTTCACTCACTTGTAGGGGTCAAACGGATCATAGTTTATCATTTACACGTGTTTCTAAGTCTTACCAATTTAAACATTCAAGCGTTTTAAAGGGGTCATATGATACGATTTAAATTTTTCCTTTCTCTTTGAAGTGTTACAAGCTCTTGGTGCATAAAAAAAGATCTGTAAAGTTGCAAAGACTAAAGTCTCAAATCCAAAGAGATATTCTTTATAAAAGTTAAGAGTCAACCACGCTTACCTAAAACGGCTCGTTCTAACACGCCCCCACATGTCTACATCACGATGTGGGAAGATTTGCATAACGCCGCCCAAATGTTCACGCAAAGAAAAAAGGCGTAACTTTTATTCTCGCTGTAGAATTGTTGTTGCCGCCGCCATGTCGTGAAGGTGCTGTATGTTTCGTTGTGAAAGCGAAACTACTTTGGCCTTCCAAAAGAGGATGATATCTGCTTCGTCATGCCTGGAGCTGATCCGTGATGGTAGCTGAGGAAATACATCAACTTCACGCTGTGGATCGCCAGATCGGCTTTCAATGTGGACGAAGCGGAGTCCAGCCCGTCCCGTCACATGTGGTTGCCGCAAGCCTGCCGGACGCTCCTTTGTCGAATCAGCCAGTCGCGCCGTTTTCAAGCCCGCCCGCCCGCCTCTGCTCACTCAAGCCAGCCTCCGCTCACTCTAGGCCGCGGCTCACTCTAGGCCTCTGGCCTCCACTCACTCAAGGCCGCAGTGTGTGACGCTGTCTCGTTGTGAAAGCGAACTAGACTAGAAACTCCATGTACACGACTAGAAATCAGTGGTTAAGTTGTATTTACAACACTGTTGTCCAGCGCATTTTATGGAGGACTGTTTCCTGATCCTGGTAGAGTAGACTACAATGCTGGCTGTTCTGACTCACAGACTGTAAGTACGTTTTTTTATATTTAAAGAATTTGCCACTGACGATTCAAACGCGAGTTTTGAGCAGTGTAGAGTAGCACTTGTTTGTCATTTCTCCGATCACAAATGCAGACATGGTTTTATGTTTACGCGGCGCGATGCAACGCAACACGTAAAAGGACAGTATAAGTCATAATAATCCATAAGTATGTCCCCACTGGATGCGACAAATGCCTCGTTTATAATGGGTTTTAATGTTTTTGTCTCGTCACTCCGGCCGGACAGGGCATCACAATATGGTAGGGGCATAACATTTCCGTCACACGCTTGAGGTATTCGGCCACATGCGCATGAAGAATTCAGTTCGGTGCTCGCGTGCACACGCTCAAAGCACACACATACAGAGCGGCGTTTCAGGCAGAGCACGAACACATAATTGATTCCTCTTTCGCTTGAACGGACACACACACGCAAAATTATCTCAAAATAACTATATCGGCAAGTATTTTCATGTCTTGAACATAAACAGTGGATAAAGAAATTGCACGAGCATCATTATATTGGATCCGTGCATTCGGTCTTAAAGGGGCAGCAGCCTATAAATACCTGCTGTTTAAGCGCCACCTGCTGTCAAGAGAGTGACATTTGCGTCTCATTCAGCCCGTCTGCTGTTTTTGTTTTCTTCAGATTTTTTATGTAGTATCACAAAGCTAAAGTCAGACCATTTTGTTTTTGTTTTTTTGTTTCACATTTCAAAATTTTACAATCTAAATAACATGTATGCAGCATCTTTGTTTGGTTCGTGATTAAAATACACAGGCAAAACCTTAGTTTACTTGCATGGAGAAATTTATTTTATTTGTATTATTTATTTATTTGATTTGGGATTTGTTTTAAAATTTCAAGTTAGTATATTAGTTGACATTTTCAATTTCACAAAGTAATGTGCAGCCTTTTGGTCTGAGAAATAACAAAAAGACACCTTTTTTAAAATATGTCTTAAATCTCATTTTGTTAAAAAAGAAATTGTGAGAAAATTGTATTGTGAAATCAGTATCGTGAATCATTTCACATCGTGAGTTGA